CTTAGGTTTCAGGTCGATTCCTATGATTTCAGGATACTGTGCAATTATAGAAGGAAGATATGTTTCTCTGACATTGAAATCTTGCAGGATTTGCACGTTTGGTTTCACTGCATCATCTAATTCGAACCCAAGAATGTGAGGCCGCTTCTCAATCAACCTAGCTACAGCTAGTTTCGGAATCCCAAGACCCTCGAGATACTCCACGAGAGGCTTAATTATCCGAGCTACCCGCATTCCTAAAATCTCAGGGTACCGAGTTAAAACACCACCAATCTCCCTCCTAGCTACACCTATACCAACCAAATAAGCAACTGATGTGCTCATAGTCCCTTCCAGCTTAAAACCTAAAACTTCTGGATACCTCTCAAGCACTCGAGGTACATCAATCGGTTTAATATCCAGTCCTTGAAGATACTTAACCACCGGCGCAAGATCTATAACAACACTAGCGTGAAGAACCTGCGGGTATCTTCTCAAAAACTCAGTGAAAGTCGATTTTCTCACGCCTAGTTTCCCGAGATAATCAAGAACTGGAACCATGTTCTTCTTCACGCTACAACCAAGAACAAGAGGGTAATTGTTGATATCTTCAATGGTAAGCCCCAACCTGTGAAGAAACTCCACACGCTCTTTCATCACCTCAGCTGTTACAGGGAGTTCAAGACCATCAAGCTCATCAGGAACAATCCCAATCCCGCGCAAGAACTCATAAACCTTAGCACGATTAGCAGCTTTCTCCTTATTCATATCTAACAAACTAGGACGACTATACAGAGACTGAGAACCTCTTCCCTTATCTTTATCCTTATCCCTATCCCTTCCCGAAGAAGAACGGGACGACCTTTCTCTTCTCGGTGAATCCACAGAACGTGAAGAGAATCTCCGATTTGCAATAGAGCATTGAACTGCTAGACCAATTCCAATACCAGGTATCTTCTTGTGATTGCATAAGTTTCCATAAGTGGAATCAGAGAGTGAACGAGATCTAACGGCAAAAAAAGATGGTGGCTCAAAGTGAACTAGCAAAGACCCAGGTTTTGTGAGGCCGCTACAGAACCTAATCTTCATTCTTTCACCTACAAAAACGGAAGAACACTAAAATTGACGATATCAACAAAAACTAATACCAACTCGCACTAACCCAGAAACCTGAACGGGATAATCATATACCAATTCAAACAATTCAGTAGTAGTGAACATCAACGAACCAAACACACATAAACCTAATTAGAAGCAAGTCACAGAAACTATGGAAATCGAGAGGAAGAAGAGGAATTGGATCAACGTATGATTGAAACTGAGAGTGAAATCTCACCGGAGACGAGGAAAGATATCGGAGAATGCGAGGGTTTTAGCGGAGCGGGTAAGGTTTTTTCCACGAAAGAGAAATAAGAATCCTCATCATCACTCTCCAGTGAATGATTTATCCGAATTCTTGACTCTGTAACCCTCATTTTCTAATATTTTCCATTATTTCCCCATAACTATCTGAAATGTTATCATTACCCCCATACGTCCGCGATTACTTTAATAGTGAGCGACTAAATAAGAAAATATCATTCACTTTGTTTATCTCTTTAGAACATAAAATTTATTTAAACTGTAGCATTGGATTATCAAAGATGAACGGTAGTAAAATTATGATACTTTAATAGTTTTGGGGGTTTTCTAAGGGAAAATAAAAGATGAGGGGCTATTTCAAAGTATCCAAGTCATTTAACAGTTATGTGAGACTTTTTTTGGAGAGAAAGCAAACAAATATTCGTTGGACGAAGCATCGAGAAAATGATGGTACTTTCTTCGGTTGGTTCCGCTTCGTCATCTCCGATCGCTGCCGTCTTCTCCGCCGCGCTTCTTCTGTTCTACTTCTCTGATACTACTCTAGGAGCTCCTTGTCCCATCAATGGTAAGTTTAGCGGGTTTTCTCCCCCTACGACCTAGGAGATTATGCTCTGGATGCAGATTTCTTCGTACTTATGTTTGTATCACTGATAGAATCTAAGGTCTTTACTTAGGTGTGAAATTGCTTATTTGGATTCCTGGTAGAAAGAATCAAATGTGCAGGAACTTGCTATTGATTTTGTCTAAATGAGGATCTAAGAACCTCACAATTGTTCCTATCAGTCTCGTGTTTTGATTTGTGGAAGTGGTTCTGAATGTTCCGAAGTGGTACAGATTCGCTGCAATTTCATCGATCTGGAGCTTAGATACTTATAAGATTCTGATGTTTTTTATCTGTTGAGTGGTGAATCCAGGCTTGCCAATCCTGAGGAATATTAGTGACCTTCCCCAGGATAACTATGGAAGACCAGGCCTTTCTCACATGACTGTTGCTGGCTCTGTATTACACGGAATGAAGGAGGTAATGATGGAGGCCATTGCTGTTTTTAAACTATGTCCATTAGTATCCATTTATGTCTGTGTTTCATGAATTTTTTTGACCAAAAAAATTATGTTTCCGTTTTCTTGTTTTCCATTGTTGGACTTGTGATGGAGATTTTTGCTTACACTATAAAAATAACAGTAACACTGAATCGCTACTGATCGCCAGGTCGAAATATGGCTTCAAACATTTGCACCAGGTTCAGAGACACCAATACACAGGCACTCCTGTGAAGAAGTTTTTGTTGTCCTAAAGGGCAGTGGTACTCTGTATCTCGCTGAAACACATGGAAATTTCCCTGGGAAACCAATTGAGTTTCCTATCTTTGTTAACAGTACGCTTCATATTCCGATCAATGATGCTCATCAGGTATGTCTTTCTACCTTCCACATCATTTCAGATGATCTGGCTCTTTTCTTGAGTCTTAGACTTTGGAATCCTAGTTTGTTAAGAGTTTCCTTTAATTGTAATCTTAATTAAGAGCAAAAGACACTTCAAGTAAGGCTGATGATAAACCATCCAATTTTGTATGCAACAGATGTTAGTTAAATTAACATTGAACAAATATGAGTATTGTGTTTAAGAATGCTTGAGAGTGTTAGATGTGCTGCACGTCCTATATATTCATATATATGAGAAATATGACTTTTTCTTATGCTAAAAACCTGGCTTATGAAAGTAGCTCACAATCATGTATTACGGTTCTTACAGGTCAAGAACACCAGTCACGAGGACCTGCAGGTGTTGGTTATCATATCTCGCCCGCCTATTAAAGTGTATGTACGACATCCTTTTCCATGAATTTGCTTATATATAGTGTTCGTTTTACTATTCATATGGAAAAATCGTTTGTTATTTCAACAGCTTCACCTACGACGACTGGTACATGCCACACACCGCTGCAAGGTTGAAGTTCCCTTACTATTGGGATGAGCAATGCCTTCAAGAGTCGCAAAAAGATGAGCTTTAAAGCAATGTCCGAGGCTAAAAACAAGGACGATCTTTAGATAGTAAAATTATAGTTAAGGTTTTGTTACACTGCGTAGATACTGGTAGATTTGCGAGAATTTTACATGGATAATGTTACCAGAAAGTAAATAAATGTTCAATCTTTGATGTTCTCAAGTAAGTGGGTCTTATTGGTCATGAAAATATGTAATAGTGCACATCTTGGTTACTTTTATTTTCCTTTTCTATATTCAATTGGCCAATTATACAGTCTTAAAGCATTTTACGACATAACATTTTGGTGACTGTTCGTAATTTACCAACTAATGGTGATTTCACCAATCACATTGTGATTAACACTAAGGTATCACCCAACCGTACTGGAAGATGGAAGATGGAAGATGCAGACCTATCTTCTACATGGAAGAAGGCTAGACATCAAAGTCATAGCTTTATGTGATTTGTCTTGATATATATACCTCTTCAAGTTGATGATGCAGCCGTTTCTTTTGTCTCTTGTATTCTGTGCTGACTGCTGAGTCTTCTCCATTTGAGAAAGTTATCAATGACACTCTCAAGTAGTGGCAGAACTGGTTCGATGTTAGATCCAACTAACATAGTCTCATCATCACACAAGCCAACCACTTGCATTAGTCCATTTTACTAGATGAACATTAGCTACATGCATTGCTTCCTTTTCCCCTCTCTTCTTCTGTCTCAAACCTGTGTCTGCAAGTTCCCTATTGGGCTTTTTATAAGTAAATCATGGGACTCAAAATAAGGCTTTGGCCCACATCAAGAAAGAGATTATTCGTAAATCAACACAAAATGAAGTGTCTTTTATCCCACATCGGTGACTCTATTGATTTTTTGTGGGTTTATATATGAGAGGAAACGAACTGTCTACCGTCGAGCTAAGTAACGAGAGCTTGTGACCCTAGTGGGGACAGTAAGGTGGTGGGACACTGGTTCGGTTCCTCAGGTCGGTTCTGATGCTGGCATGTTTCTGAGCTGCCCAGTCCAAGCTGTGAGTAGTCCGTCTGGATCGAGCGAAGGCTTGGCTCAGTTGGATTCTAAAGTTGGAGGGTAATGCGTGAGGCTGGTTTCACAGAGCAGCGACCACTTCCCGCTTACAGCAGTGGACGGATCACGGCTCAGCGTCACTCAGGATCACTATGACCTGCTGGTTCGATCTCAGCTGAACAACCATTTTTTTTTCCTCTTTTCAGTTTACAGCTTTTTAAACCTGTCACAAAACTATGCTGTCTGTTTTGGGCTTGTTTATGCTTTAAGAAGGAACACACACAATGTACAAAGCGGGAAGAGTTGAAACTTTAATATAAACTCGGTTTGTGCAATGAGAAAAACTGAAAGCAAACAAAGCTAAGCGACTGCAGAGAGTTGAAACTTCAATAGGAACACATACAAAATCGGTTTGTGTAATGACCAAAGCTGAAAAACTGAAAGCAAACTTTAAACAAAGCTAAGAGTAGCGGATTTGAAACTTTAATTGGAACACATACAAACTCGTTTTGTCCAATGACCAAAGCTGTAAAACCGAAAGCAAAGAGACAGCAGATAGTTGAAACTTTAATAGGGTATACAATGTATCATAGCCTTGGTTCTCATGTATAGAAAAATACAATTTTGCTAACCAAAGAACTGTTACTTAAGAGTCAAGGTTAAGAGAGCCACGAGTAAGATGCCTAGGAAGGATCACAATGGTATTGCCGTGATCAACACCAGCCACCCAGAAAGACAGATTCTCGTTCAATAATTGGTTTTTGTGTACAAGAATATACCCATCTTGAGGCAGATTTAACTCACCCTTCTCTTCAATTTTAACCAACTCGTTCCTCAGTTCTTTCACGTTATCGTTCATCTTCATATTCACAGCCACTGGAACCCCCTTAGCAGCTTCACTCTCACCTGAATACGGCACAACGTATACGACAATCCTCTTCTTCCGGATCCTCTCCTTCTCAGACGAATCTTGAGTGTTAGTGATCATCTCTGCGACTGAGCCACGAGTAAGATGCGTAGGGAGGATCTCAATTCTATCGCCGTGATCAACACCAGCCACCCAGAAAGACTCATTCTCGTTCAGTACTCTGTTTTTGTGTGTAAGAAAATACGTTCCTTGAGGCAGATTTAACTCGCCCCTCTCTTCAACTTTAACCAACTCGTCCCTCAGTTCTTTCACGTTATCGTTCATCTTCACATTCACAGCCACCGGAACCCCCTTGGCAGCTTTACTCTCACGTGAGTACAGCGAAACGTATACCACAATCCTCTTCTTCCGGATCCTCTCCTTCTCAGACGAATCTTCCACTGAGTTTGAGGATGGAGATTGATCGGTTTGAACCGTCACAGACGAATCTTGATGAGGGTTGATGACGTTTTGTGTTGAGGTTGACGATGGAGATTGCTCTGTTTGAACCGTCACAGTAGAATCTTGATCATGACCGTCAATGATATGATCTGTTGAGCTTGACGGTGGAGGAGATTGCTCGGTTTGGTTGTTGTCAGGAGAGACGAAGAGTTGAAGACGAGATCCGTGGAAGATCTGATATTGTTCGATAACAAGATCGTCTTGAAGAACCACGCCGTCGAAGAGAAGGGTTTGTTTGCAAACAGGGATACGGTGAGACTTCTCGATCTTCTGTTTGACCTCTAACATCGTATCCTTGTAATCCACTTCAATCTCGAACGATGAGCCACTCTGAACCTCCACAAGAAACTTCATAACTGTATCAATGGTGTTTCAAGATCAATGGAGAGAGACTGTGGAAGAAGAAAGATATCGAGAGAAAGTGATAACTTGTAACGAAAGTTTCCCTCACGAATCGGTTTTATATCACGTACCAAATAGATGAGAGAATCTTAACCGTCCATATCTATCTTTTTACCAACTTTACTAAAATGATCCGACGGTGTAAATTTAACTTTTCTTTTTGTGTAAAAAAAATGTCGAAATGCTTTGGAAACGCAGCGTTTTGTTGAAAAACATATTGGTCCGTCCGACATATCGCCGTCAGAAATACGGTGCCAGAAGAATGTATTAGTCTCGCTCAATGGTGACTTTTTTGTAAACAAAGAAATAACCTTGGCGAGGCATATCTAACTCACCCTTCTTTTGCATCTTAACCAGCTCCATCCTCAGTATTTTAACTGTATCCAATGCCTTAACAACCACTGGAATCATCCTGGTCTCTTCAAATACTGTCATCTTTGTTGACGGCATGGGATTGATCTTCTACTTCACAGGAGAATCTGGTATGTCAATGATCTTCTTATTTCTTGGTCTTAGAAGACTGTGATTAGCAAAATATAGTTGCAGTTCATCTGGTTCCTCTTCTGATCCATTGTTATTCCATCTACATCAATTTCTTGTAGTTTCTTGAGCTGTTCCTCATGATCCTCAGCTTCTGCATTTCTTCCCACACTTTTTTTTATTCCTCTTTTGCCATTCCTCAAAATCCAAGCAAACTTTTTATCAATCTCAAATCGACGAAACTAAAATAAAAAATCAATCCTTTGGTACCCCATTCTTAACATATTCCACTCCGATAAATCCACCTACAATGAAACCATCAATGATATATCATGAACAAATTAATCAAGAGTCTTACTAAAAAACATAGTAAATATTCTCAATTCAGTAAATAAAGATCTTGGTGGTGCAAAAGATGCCCATCTCTCCTTTACTTTCAAATATGTATTTTTGGGTGATTGGATGTGAATTCAAAAATAGATTGAGAGACGGATAAATGAAGTAAACATTACAAAAATACACCACTTAAGTAGTACATTTTTAGTTCAAAGGTTTTGCTTTGAAATTTGTTACATTCTCGAGTTCCTCTTGCTTACGTTTTGTAGTAGTTTTTGATGTAGAGTAGGAAGAGCTCTTAGCATTGTTCGGATCACAGGGCTGGTTAATTTAGTAAGGTTAGGCCTCTAATCATAAATTCATAATGAATAAAAAAAATATTCATTTGAAGCTATAAATCTGTTCTTAAGTGATGCTTATCTCTGATAAAGGGTACTTACCTGAAAATGTGGCAGAGGTGGTGTTCTTTGATGGTGCAGTGCAGACAAAGCTAGAGCTGCCCAAATCTGTAGTAAATAACAGAACGCATAAGGTTTTATTTAGATAAACCTCAGTGAAACTAGATGCCTCACCTTCTTATTCATAGTTCTACCTTATAACTTGGGAATCTTTGCCAACATCTCTTCCTCAAGTTATTTACGGCTTCGGTATAGACACCTTCTTTGTTCACAATTCTGAGATAACTTCCAATAGGCTGCATTGAATAAAACCAAAAACGAATTATTATTGGCTGATAGACAATTAAACTTGAAACAGAACAACATAGAGAAAAGCAGAGAATTTCAAGATTGCTTACAGAGCATGAAGAGGATTTTTCCATCTTTGGGACATAAATCAATGATGAGGAGGAAAAACGTTTCAGTCATACAATGAGATAAGGAGTGAATCATGCTGATTTTTTTAAAAAAAAAATATTGGGTAACCTGTCTTAGTTTTCCATCAGCCAGCCAGCCTTTGCCATTTGATGTGTTGATTTTACTGGATAAGAGCTAACGTTTTTACCACTCGTTTCCCTGTACTGAAAGGCATAGACACATTAAAGAACTATAAGAAGAGGAACGTGAGACAAACAAGGCTGACCACGGGGTGTGACAGAGTTGTCCATGAAGCTTGAAGCTGCAATGCAAAAGATAAAACGACCATTGAGATAAAAGAAAAAGAGTGAGCCAGACAAAAAGAGAGTAAAAAAGGGAATTACCCATTCAATGAACCACTTGAGAGCACAGGAAAGGAAAGTATCTTTATTGGTCAAATCTTGGCCTTGCTTCAACAGCATGTAGCTATCAACCACGGAGAGACCACGATTGAGCTTCCTTACAGAACAACACAAAACACACAAGGTTTTAGTCTGAGTTGGTTAAGTTCGGATGAAATGTCTGAGACCGGCTCTTTTCACCACCAAATACGTTGTAGTCAAGCATCTGCAAAAAGAGGCACCAAGTAAGCAGCAACGAAATGATCAACGATTCTTATTTAAACTGAAAATAAGTGATTCGTGGGGGAATATACATGTTCAAGAATTTGACGGAGTCGTGGGTGAATTCAAACGAAGTATGAGATAAGAGATATGGATCATGCTGGTTTTGTAACAATCTGCCACCAACCTGTCTTGATTTTCCACCATCTAGTTTTTGCTTTCTGATGGCTTGACTTTAACACTCGTTCCCTGCAATAAGGCAATCAACACAAAAAAGAAACGAAACTACTACAAGTTGAAGGTGAAACCAGATTTGGGAATAAGAATTAATGTGAGCTACCTTTTCACATTTGTCTGAAGGATGATTTTGGATTGAGCTATCTTTGTAGCAATTTACTGCTTTAAAGTCTACTGGAGTGGTGGGATGGGTAAGGGATGTTCTCCTTTTTTCTATCTGCTCAGGCGTCCGCATCCCCGAGATTACTGTTGAATGACAAGAAGAAAAAGAAGAATTAGAATGGCACCTCATGATCTCACTTAACTACAATACCATTTCACAAAGAATGAGATCCTTGCAGTTTACCTAACCTGCATACCTGCTTAAAGACTCACGTTTAAGATATTGAAGATGTTTCTGCATGCTGAAACTATTGAACATTCTTCACATTTGAAAGGAGTACTTGGACAAATCTTTTTCTCCATCTAAAGGAAGTGATCAAATAAATTATCCGGCCACAGACTGTTTGAAACTGTACCTAGAAACGATGTATGAGAATAGAGTTGAGAAAATTTGGATATGATTGCCAACTAGAATCCCATTGTTAATAGGAATAAGATACCAACCTTTGGCTGTCTGAACCCAACCCACAAGGCTGACCACAGCGTGTGACAGAGTTGTCCATGATGTCATCAAGCACGAGAAAATAACCTTGAAGCTGCAATGCAAAAGGTAAAACGGCCATTACAATGAAGTCAAAGAGAGAGTCACACAAAGAGATGGTAAAAAATGGGAATTACCCATTCAATGCACCACCTGAGAGCACACAATAGGAAAGTATCAGTATCGGTCAAGTCTTGGCTTCTTTCAAGAGATTGTAGGCAGCTATCAACCACGGAGAGAGACCACAACTGATTAATTTTGGATGAAATGTCTAAGACAGGCTCCTCACACCGCCGCCTACATTGTAGTCAAGCATCTGTAAAGAGAGGCAATGTCACGGAAATTGGAGCATGTTAGATGACGCTTTCAGAGATTAGCCAATGTATTCTGCGTGCAAGGAAAACAGAGAGGCATATCAGATGGCATGAAATCAAAACATTCTAGGGATGAAAGAAGCTTCATACCAGAGATTTGATTAGAGACATAAGTTGAAGCTAGTGAAGATGATTATGCGTGCTTGTTAGCCCTTGCCATTGTTTGAAGATAAAATTCCTGCAGCATTGGGAATGAAATCCTTGCAAATTAGCTAAACAGTTTCATTAAGCTATGAGTTTGTTATGAAGTGATGATACTCTCCAGAGTTGGTATCAAAATAGTAATTAAGAATGTAACTTACCTTTTCACATTACGCTTACGACAACTGTGACTGGTTTTTTTTTGCCTGCGTGCAGAATGAATTCCTCAGAAGACTAGATATCTTTCTAGCAGTTTGATGCTTTTTCTTAAGGTTCACCCACTTTTCTTCTTGAGAAAACTGCAGAGCTGGTGTGTGTTCTCCTTGCTTTATATCTTCTCCGATATCTACATTCCCGAGATTACAATTGAATGAACAAAAAGAAAAAGAGCATTAGAATGTTTCTTATCTTGCTTAACTACAATTAGATCTCACAAAGAATGATATAGATAAACCTGGCTTATGTGGTCTTATTGTTATTCTCTGTATCCTCGGAATTGTTACTGAGCAAAGTAGAGGATTACACCATGGTTGGGTCATATAATGAGATCATCTAGCTTTTACCCCTGTGATTGGCTACATACTCAATAAATCAAATTGGTAGAACTAGTAGCTAGCAATGTTCGTAACACTCATTTCCCTGCAGTCAATGAAACGATACATCAACACATGAAAAAAAAAACCCATCAATCACAATAATCAATCAGTCAAATCTAATAATAATAGGATGAGAGTAGTAAAGAGAATTACGCCATGGAAACCAACAAGGTCCTCCTCGTGCTCCCATCCTCACTTGCAAAAGAACACTTCCTTGCACCATATCAAAGATTCTGAGAGTTAAATACAAGACAAGAGATCATTTATCAACTTTTAATAATAATAAAGAACATAAGCTAACAAGGAATTTTACTTACAGAGATGGTGATTGGTGAAGAAGATGATTTTTTTTTTCCAGTGCAGGGATCATCATCATCCCTAATTCTCCATCAATGGTCTATCAAGAACAAATAGGTCAAGAGTCGAACTAAAAGAAATAGTAAATATTATCAATTTAGTAAATAAAGAACTGAAACTATCAATGCATTACCTTCTTGTTCATATTTCGAGCTAATAACTTTGTAATCTTTGCCAACATCTTTTCCTCAAGTTATTTACTGCTTCGGTATAGACACCTTCGTTCACAATTCTAGGAAAACTTCCAATAGGCTGCATTGAATGTAACCAGAAACGAATTATTATTACTGGCTGAGTGACAATTAAACTTGAAACAGAACAAAGTAGAAAAAGCAGAGGATTTCGAGATTACTTACCGAGCATGAAGAGGATCTTTAGTACATAAAACAATGATGATGCGGAAAAAAATTTCAGTCATACAATGAGATATAGAGTGAATCATGCTGTCTTAGATTTCCATCATCCAGCCTTTGCCTTTTGATGTGTTGATTTTTCTGGATAAGAGCTAACGTTTTTACCACTCGTTTCCCTGCAGTGAAAGGCATAAATACATTAAAGAACTATAAGAAGAGGAACGTGAGACCAGAGTTGGTATCAAAATAATTAAAAATGTCATCTACCTTTTTAACACTTCTCTGATTACTGCCTTTTGCTTGAGACAACCGTGACTGGTTTAGTTGTGAACTATTTATTTCTTGGCTAGAAGGCTGCAATCAGAGGAAAACATGGCTCTTTGGTTCAATCATTATTCTGCATGGGAGGAAAACAAAAGGCATATCAGACAGCATGAAGTGAAAAAAGCTTCATACCTGCTTAGGGACTTACGTTGAAGCTGTTGAAGATGTCTCAGCATGCTGGTTTACCCTTACCAAGTTTAAATTCCTGCAACAATAAGAAATGAGATCCTTGCAGACTAATTAAACAGATTCATTAAGCATTATAAAGTGATGATAGTCTCTAACGAAGGGTATTTAGCTGAAAATTCTCGCAGATGAGGTGTACTGCTTTTGTGGATATGGAAAGTTAAAGGCCAAAGAAATTGTTACCTCAAAATTCAACATACTAAGGTATTCCCCTGAAGTGTTTTTTGAGAATCATGTGAATATGATTGCCAAGTAGAATCCCACTGTTAATAGCAATCATAAACGGGTTTACCACAGGTTCTGTAAAACTGAAAACGGGTTGGATAAAACTACCAACCCTCATCAAACTATTCTGCATATATAGAAACAAGAAGAGAGAAACGTCAACACATTGAACAGCTTCTGATCTCAAACGAATCAGAATCAAATGTCAAACGAATTTCAGCCACACAAAACAAACTTTTTTATAAATGTGATACTTAGGAAGAAGCAACGGCACAAAAATTAGAGTATATCAGTTGACGCTTTCAGAGATTAGCCAATCATTATTCTGCTTACAAGGAAAACAGAGGCATATCAAATGGCATGAAAAGAAACTTTTTAGGGGTGAAAAGAAGCTTCATACCTTACTAGAGACTTAAGTTGAAGCTAGTGAAGATGTTTATGCGTGCTGGTTAACCCTTGCCATTGTTTGAAGATGAAATTCCTGCAACATTGAGAGCTGAAATCCTTGTAGATTAACTAAACAGTTTCACTAAGCTATGGATTTTGTTATGAAGTGATACTCTTTGGGAAAGTATATATTTACCTGGAAATTCTAGCAGATGTGGTGCAGGCAAAGCTGGTGCTGTCAAAATCTGCATCAAATCACAGAACACACGGGTTTCGTTTAGTTTTCTATTTATCAAGTACAAATATACCATGCTGAAACTAGATGCATTGGCTTCTGGTTTTTCACAGGTTGAGCTTAAAACTTGGAAGTGAGCAAGACCTCGTTTTTTCCTGTGGAGCAGCAGCGTTGCTGGTTTTGGATTAAGAATCTACACAAATCAATGATGAGGACGAAAGAGTTTCGGTCATGGAGAGATTCAATCTGATTTTATAACAGTTTGGCTCCTACCTGTCTTGGTTTTTGCTGGCTTGACTTTCCAAAACTAGTTAGTTTCGGCTAGCGACGTTTTTAACACTTATTTCCCTGTAATGAGGCAATCAACAGAGAAAAACAAAAAGATTACAAGAGGAACGTGAGAATGGTAATGGTATTTAAGAACGTGAGTTGGTATAAGAACGGTAAGTTAGAATGTAACTTACCTTTTCACATTTTGCTGATGACTTCATTCTTGTTTAGACAACTGTGACTGGTTTTTTTTTGCCTGCGTACAGAATGGCTTCCTCAGAATACTAGCTATCTTTCTAGCAGTTTGATGCTTTTTCTTAAGGTTCATCCAATTTTCTCCCTGAGAAAACTGCAGAGCTGTGTTCTCCTTGCTTTATATCTTCTCCAACATCCACATTCCCAAGATTACTGTTGAATGAACAAAAAGAAAAAGTGCATTAGAATGGTTTCTCATCTTGCTTAACTACAATTAGATCTCACAAAGTATGATATAGAGAAACCTGGCATTGTAGATCTATGTATCCTCGGAATTGTTACAGAGCAAAGTAGAGGATTACTCCATGGTTGGGTCACATAATGAGATCATCTAGCTTTTACCCTGTGATTGGCTACATACTCAGTGAATCAGATTGGTAGAGCTAGTAGCTGGAAATGTTCGTAACACTCATTTCCCTGCAGTCAGTGAAACGACACATCAACACATGAAATTAAAACAAAAAAACCATTAATTTGGTTCGTACCTGTCTTGATTTTCCACCACCTAGTTTTTGCTTTCTGATGGCTTGACTTTAACACTCGTTCCCCTGCAATGAGGCAATCTACACACAAAAAGAAACTACTACAAGTTGAACGTGAAGCCAGATTTTGGGTACCAGAATGGAAAGAATGTGAGCAACCTTTTCACATTTTTCTGAAGGCTGATTTTGGCTTGAGCTATATTTGTAATTTGCTGCCTTAAGGTCCACTGCAATGGTGGTTTGGGTAAGGGATGTTCTCCTTGTTTTCTATCTGCTCAAGCGTCTGCATCCCCGAGATTACTGTTTAATGAACAAGAAGAAAAAGATGAGTTAGAATGGAGGACGGCTGAATGAATTAGAACAAGACTCACGTTGAGTTGAGACTCTACCTAGAAACGGTGTATGAGAATAGAGTTGAGAAAAATTGTGAAATTGGAAATTACCCATTCAATGCACACAAAAGGAAAGTCTCTTTATCGGTCAAGTCTTGGCTATCACCAGCTTGTAGCTATCACCCACGGAGAAACCACAATTGAGCTTCCCTACATGACAAAAATTGATTAATTTAGGATCAAAATTTCTTAGACAGGCTCCTCACACCGTTGCTTAAATTGTAGTTAACATCTGCAAAGAGAGGCACCAAACCAGTAGAAACAAAAGAAGTATCAAACAATCTTATTAAAATTGAAAGTAAGTGATGTGAGGAGGGAATATACTTGTTCAAGCGATTGTCGTGGGTGAATTCAAACGAAGAACCTTGAAGCAGGTCACACAATTATCCGTTTCCCTGCAGTCAGTGAGACAATCAACACATGAAAAAGAAAAAAAAAACCCATAAATCAGTATAATCAATTTGAACTTTTTATTTTGTGAGACTATATTTGTTAAGAATGTCCCCTACCTTTTCACACTTTTCTGATGATGTCCTTTGGCTTGAGATAACTGTAACTGATATTTTGGCAAAAGTGCAGACGGATTCATCATCAGACAAGGTTCAATGAATTCTCAAAACGATTCTCTAGTACTCATCGCTCAGACCTGCAATCAAAACCATCAATGGTATCAACAAAAAAAGATCAGTCAAGAGTTAAACTAAAAGACAGAATAAAGAAGTGTAGCTACTAGTTACTGGTTATATCTTGAGGCTTGCTTTGTGCTATAGCTACTGGTTCTAACGGTCCTTTATCCTGCAATAATAAGAATTATTGAAAAAAGTAGTTGACTTTAAACAATTTGAAACAAAACCCTGAAGGGTTCTTCTTCTTTTTGAAGGATTCTTTACTCATCGCTCAGACCTGCAACTTTACTCATTGCTCAGACCTGCAATCAAAACCATCAATGGTATCAACAACAACAAAAAACAGTCAAGAGTTAAACTAAAAGACAGAATAAAGAACTGGAGCTACTAGTTACTGGTTATATCTTGAGGCTTACTTTGTGCTATAGCTACTGGTTCTAACGGCTCTATAACAAGCAATAATAAGAATTATTAAAAAAAGTAGTTGACTTTAAACAATTGGAAACAAAACCTTGAAGGGTTCTTCTTCTTTTTGAAGGATTCTTTACTCATCGCTCAAACCTGCAATCATAACCATCAATGGTATCAAGAAAAAATATTAGTCAAGAGTTATAGTAAGAGATACAGTAAAGAATTGTAGCTACTACTAGTTACTGGTTATCGAAGATATGTCCAAGTACTCCTTGTAGATGTGAAGAATGTTCTTGGTTATAGAAACGAACAAGGTCCTCCTCGTGCTCCCATCCTCACTTGCGAAAGAACAATTCCTTGCACCATATCAAAGATTCTGAGAGTGAAATACAAGACAAGATATCGTTTATCAACTTCTCATAGTAATAAACTAACAAGTAATTTTACTTACAGAGATGGTGATTGGTGAAGAAGATGATTCTTTTTCCCAGAGCAGGCATCATCATCAATTCATCATCCCTAATTCTCCATATCACGAGAAACCATAAAACCAAAAATCGGCTCCTTCTCTCTCTCTCTCGCTCCCTTTTATGTTGATTTTCGTCTCAGCAGGGAAGAAATAAGAATGTGATGATGAGTGAGAGAGTTCCCCCTATAAACAGAGGAGAAAAAAGGAAAAAACAAAAAAAAAAAAGGAAATTCCTATCGTTTGTCAAAAGAAAAAGGAAAAACAAAAAAGGAAATATTCGAGAAAAGGAAATTGCTAATCCAAAAATATTCAAAAAAGGGGAAATATTTGTACCTTCCGCTTCTCTCCTCGTCTCTTAAAAATTCAAATCCGGATGTTGATTTAAAAAGTATAAAAAGACCTTAATTCACTTATTATTGGGCTATTTAGGCCTATTATTGGCCTTATTAAATTAATGTACTCATTATTATTATTAACCGAGATACTGAGTGTTGTTTAGTAAAATATTAAACAGAAATATCAGGATATTTGGAAGAGCTAACGTCTGCTTATTTCAATATAGCTAATGTCTGCTTATTTCATCATAGCTAATGTCTCGTATATATAATGCACAGATGACAGAGCTTAAAGTAACTCAACAAGGACTAGGATCTCTTCTTCTTTCAGCTCATGATCATATTGGTAATTACATGTCTTAGCATATTTGCAGAAAACTTTACTGTCTTATGCACTGTTCTGTCAACAAAGATTCAACAGTTGATATTTATACATGTTTCTGTAATGCCAACTAGACCATCCGAATGCACAGAGTTAAAGTAACTCAACAAGGACTTGTTTCTCTTCTTCTTTCAGCTCATCATATTAGTAATGACAAGTCTTAGCATATTTGAAAAAAAACTTGAAACCTATAAGTAAAAAAGAGAGACTACAGGAGAGAGTTTAAGCTCGAGCAATGATCAACGAGGCTTTTGATAAACAGCACTGCGGGTAGCCTTAATTATATCGCCATCAGCAATACCGTTCCAGAAGAATGAGGAAGTCTCGATCAATGGTGTCTTTTTGAAGACAAAGAAATACCCTTCGCGAGGCAGATCTAACTCACCCCTCTGTTGCATCGTAACCAACTCTGTGGTCAGTACTTTTATTATATCCAATGAGTTAACCACCACCGGAATCATCCTGGTCTCTTCAAATAGCTGAACAAATACTGTCATCTTTCCCGAAGGGATGGGCATAGGCATGGGCTTGATCTTCTTCTTCTCAGGAGAATCTGGAATGTAAATGATCTCCTTCACTGAGTCTGACGATGAAGATTTCTCTGTTTGATTCCTGTTTCTGCTGCTCCCAAAGTTCACAGGCGGCAGATCATCTTTAATGCCAAGAAACTCTTCCATATCACTTACCGTTAGTGATCTATCGTTTTTGGTTGTCGTAGACCAATCCTGACTTAGGAACGCTTCAACTAAAGCTGATGTTTCTGGAGATTTCTCGGTTTGATTCCTGTCTCTGCTGCTCCCAACAGTTAAATCTTGAATCCCAAGTAACTCATCAGTTGAATTTGACGGTCCTGGTAGTGGTAGTGATGATTCATTGTTGTTGCTCCTCGGGTTCATCACCGGCGGATCTTGATGACCGTGAGTGATCTGTCGGGTTAAGTTTGACGGTGCTCGAGGTTGCTGGTTTTGATGAAGAACTTGATTGTTGTTGCGATCAGGGTTGTAACGGTTACAAGAGACGAAGAGTTTGAGAGTAGACTTGTTGACGATCTTACATTGTGCGACATTATGATGGTCATTAAGAAGAACCCTGCCTTTAAAGAAAAGGGTTTGTTTGGAAATAGGGATATGTAGATGCCTCTCGATCTTCTCTTTGATAACTAACACTGTATCAAAGTTACCCACTTCAATAGTACACTCTTCTTTATCACCATCAGGCTGATCACCATACTTGACTTCCACCTTCATACTTGTATCAATGGTGTTTCAAGATCAATGGAGACTGGTGTAGAAGAAAGTGAAGAGAGAGAAAGTGCTGTGTTGTGACAAAATAAAATTTCTCCTCATCACGATTTGGCTTAAATATCATTTGATTCACGAATCAAATGGGTCAGGTTTGGGCCTAGCACAATATCAACCTTATTGGGTTACGTGTTTCTTAAGTTAATGAAAGCCACGTTTTGGACAAAGATAATTTCGATGAAAGCAAGAAACTTCATGAAAGACTGAACGATATAAAGAAGGAGGAGATTGCACAAAGTTAAGCCTAAAGACTGTATAATGCTCCTTTGTCTCTTAAATTTCGGATTTAGCTAAAACATCTGATTTCGTATGCACAAATGCTACTTAACATAACATTGAACAGACAAAACAAAAGCAACGCATAGTAATTTAAAATAAAATAAAATAAAAAATAAATGTAATTTACAGACAATTATTAGAACTTTTTCACATTTACAGTTATCAATGGAGATCTGGGAATATGGCTTTTTTTCTTCGGCTATAAACTATTTTGGGTTATCATCATATGAAACTAGCTCATGATCATATGTTTACAGGCCTGCAGGTATTGGTTATTTCTCGGCTATCTATAAAAGGGTATGTAACATATTTGTCCAAAAATTGCTTACTCATATTATATGCGTCCTATACTATCCACACACTGCTCCAACGCGTCCAAGATTCGCAAAAAAGACAATGCTTTAGATCAAAGCCCGAGGCCAAAACAGAGCACAAACAGAGTATATCATTTGGTAAATTGGTAAAATGGATATATAAACTTTCAGTGTGGCAACTAACTCTACCCAATGACACCAACTCCATTCCTCAACGGATACGATCATTCAAATTGACTTGACGTCAAAACATGGAGTGCTTCGTCCTCCAATGGTCATGTGGATGCCAACGCTTCAATATGCATTCTTAAGCTAAACTGAAAGCTTCCGGTTTTGGCCAGCTTCTCCGAGTTCTGCCAAAAAAGTATATCAACTTAGATAACTCATATTCTTTAAGTAAGCTTTAGTTCTTTCACCTATCAAAAGTTAAATTGGAATGTCATGTAGACTTGTGTCCCATCAGAAGGATTCACTTAGAGAGAAATCTCACTTGACACTACTCACAGTGTGGCCTTTCACTTGCTAATTGGCTTGTAAATCTTTGATTTAAACTCACATAAACGTGCATCACAATCTTCATGGCTCTAGCAACAACATAACCTAATTTAATGAAAACTTTTAAACCCATAACTTCAAGAAAAATACTAAAAGCTTAAGGAAAGTTCGTTTATTAAGGTTTTAACAAAGTACCATATAGTTGTATTGTTCTAAGTATAAGAAGAAAATATTGGTACAAGGCTTCAAGAAGGACTAAGAGCTACAAGGAAAGATTTTAAGCTTGAATAACGATTTTTGGGATAATCGCAATTGTATCGCCGTCAATAACAAGGTTCCACATGAATGACTCAGTTTCGTTCAATGTTAGCTCTCTGAATATAAAGTAATACCCTTCGTGAGGAAGAGATAACTCACCCTTGGCTTGCATATTAACCAGCTCTTTCCTCAGTTCTTCAACATTATCATCTGCGTTAACCATCACTGGGATCTTCCTGTTCTCTCCAAATGGCTCCACAAACACTGTCAGCTTTATGGACGGGATGGTCTTGATCTTCTTTTTCACAGGCGAATCTAAAATTCTAAGGAACTCTTTGACTGAGTCTGACGGTGAAGATGTCTCGGTTTGAACCACCTGATTCATGTTTCCTCTGCTCCCGACAGTCTCAGGACGCAAATCTTGAACGCCAAGTACATCATCCAGTGAATATGACGGTCGTGATGATCCACTGTCGATTCTCCTCGCCATGATATTTTGAGTTGTCACATGTTGGTTCTGATTACAGACCTGTTCCACCGTCAAATCTCGATCCACACCGTAAAAGGTCCCTCCAAATGAGTTTGATGAAACACCTGATTGCTCTGTTTGATGAAGCATTTGATTGTTTTTGCCGTGCGGCGAATCTTGAATCCCAAAGAACTCTTCAAATGGAGACTCCTCGGGTTTGTTGCTCATCACGGGAAAATCTTGATGGTTAACGAACCCATGATTCGGATTTAATGGAGACTGCTCGGTTTGAGGCACTTGGTCGTCGTTGTTGTCTTCCGGAAAGATGTATAGAAAGAGGCGAGAGTTGTTAACGATATGGAATAATCGTATCTTAAAGTTGTCTGGAAGAACTTCGCCTTGGAAGAAAAGTGTTTGTCTGCAAACAGGGATACCTTGAGACTCCTCGATCTTCTGTTTTATCATTAGCAGTGTATTCAAGAAATCAACATCAATGGAGAACGATGAGCCACTTTCAGTATCGATGAACAACTTCATAATCGTATCAATGGTGTTTCAAGATCAGTGGAGACTGCTGAAGAAGAGATGATACAGAGATATCAGAAAGTGATGATTTTACACGAAACTGTGTTTATTAGTAAGTTAAATATCAGTTAAAAGCCTCTCGTTGAAGAATCTTAACCGTCGATTGCTCTCCTTACTGTATGATCCAACGATTGGATTGAGCATTCTTTAAAATGCAGCGTTTGGATTAAAGAAAACATTTCTCCTTTTGAAGACCTTGATCATTTAAATAAATATATATATACAGTAAAATCATAGGTAGGTTTTTGTGACTGTACGTAGGTAAATTGGTAAATGGTTAACCAAATGTGTAACTTCAGTAAGTTTTGATTTCATTTGAGGTTAAACTACACACGACTAAGGTAATTGTCAGTAATTTAGGAAATAATTATGATTATCATCAATTACATTGTAATTATGGTTTTACTTTTTGAGGAAACTTTACTGTCTTTTGCTCTGTTTTGTCAACACAAGTTCAACATTTGATCCTTAAATTGTCAACTAGACCATCCGAATGCACAGAGCTTAAAGTGAAGCGTGATCGCTGATGTAACTCAACAAGCACTAGTTTCTCTTCATTCAGCTCAATATACTTGTAGAAAACTTAAGTCTTTTGCCCTGTTCTGTCAAGAAAGATTCAACAGTTGATCTTTATACTTGTTTCTGTAATGTCAACTAGACCATTCAAATGCACAGAGCTTAAAGTAACTCAAAACTCAACAATGACTATCTAGTTTCTCAGCTCATCATATTAGTAATTACATGTCTTAGAATATTTTTAGAAAACTTGAAAGCTATAAGAAAAAGAGGAGACTGCAGCAGAGACAGAGAGTTTTAAGCTTGATGATCAACGAAGAGGTCTGGATAAATCGCAATTGTATCGCCGTCAGCAATACCGTTCCCCAAGAATGACGTATTCTCCCTCAATGGTTTCTCATTGTGAACAAAGAAATATCCTTCGGAAGGAAGATTGAACTGACCCTTGGCTTTCATATCATCCAGCTCTTTCCTCAGTTCTTCAACGTTATCATCTGCGTTAACCACCACTGGCAACCAGTTGTCTTCAAATTGCTGCGATACTATCACTACTAGCTTCTCTGGGCTGGTCTTCATCTTCTTCTCCTCAGGCGAATCTGGAATGTTAATGACCTCGTTCACTGAGTTTGACGATGAAGCTTTCTCGGGTTGATCCCTGTTTCTTTTGCTTCCAACCGGCATATACGGCAAATCTTCAGGGACAAATATATCATCAAGTGTATACGACTGCTCTGATGCTCCATTGTCGATTCCCCTCGCCATGATCCTTGGGAATGGTTCAGGCAGATCATGTTGGTCATTCTTACTGAACAAATCCGTCATCAAAGCTCGATCCCCACCGCTACTGGTTTCTCCAAATGATTCTAATGACGCACTTGTTTGCTCTGTATGATAAAGCGCTTGATTGATTTCTTGAAACCCAAGGAACGCTTCCATTGAGTTTAACGTCATCGGATGTCCATAGGGTGTTGACACTTGATATTTGTTGCTCATCACTGGCAAATCTTGATTGTTAAAGAACCCATGATTTGGATCTGATGGTGCTTGCTCGGTTTGAGGCACTTGATCGCTGTTGTTGTTGTCCTGATTAGGGTTTTCGTCCGGAGAGGTGGAGAGAAAGAAACTTTTTGGCATTATGTGGAACCGCAGAATAAAATCTTCTGGAAGAACTTGTCCATTGAGGAAAAGGGTCTGCTTGCAAACAGGGATACCTTGGAACTCCTCGATCTTCTCTTTAATCCTTTTCAGTGAATCATAGATCTCAACATCAATGGGGAACGATGCGCCACTTGCAGTATCGATAAGCAACTTCATTATCGTATCAATGGTGTTTCAAGATCAATGTTCTCTGGTGAAGAAGAGAGATGATACAGAGAGAGATGATTTGTGACGAAAGTGATTATTCGTAAGTTGGTTTAAATATCACTTAAAAAGCCTCTAGTCGACAAATCTTCACCGTCTATTTCTCTCCTTACTGTTATGATCCAACGGTTAGATTAGTCATTCTTGAAATGGTAAAAAACGCAGCGTTTTAAATAAAAATTATTAGATCCGGCCCATTAGTCATTCTTGAAATGGTTAAAAAGCTGCTCCATTTGAAGATCTTGATCATTTTTTAGAACATAAAAAAAACAAAACTAAAGTTTTTTCCCTATACTAGCTTAGATCTTCTCAAGTATATGTATTGTGTTAAGCAAGAAACTTCAATAAAGACATTGAAGAGAAGTTAAGTTGGAAGCATGATCAGTTAAAAGAAGGTATGATGCTTTTGTGTCCCCTAGATTGGATTTAGGTTACTTGGACATTGGTCTTTGAAGAACAAGATTGCTTATGTTAGTTTTGAACAATGTAAATGTCCCATGTGTTTTTATTTCTTTTCTCAAGTCTATGGGAAATTAGGAATACAATTAGCCAAATCAAAAAAAAAAAAAAACCTTTTCTTAATCCAACAAAGGAAAAGGTATTAAGAGCCACCGGAAACACTTCCGTTGAAAACCTCAATTGTATCACCGTGGTCAACACGGTGCCACCGGAAAGACTGGTCATCATCCATTACATTTTGCTTGTATATAAAGAAATAGCCTTCTTGAGGAAGATTTAACTGAAACTTCTGTTGAATCTTAGCTAGCTCTTTCCTCAGCTCTCCAACGTTATCACCTGCGTTCACCTCCACTGGAATCTTCCTAGTCCCGCTTTTAGGCAACACCATTACTCTCAGCTTCTTCAGGGCATTGTTGTTGTTGTTGTTGTTGCTCCCGGACGACATTAGTATTGTCGGATCTTGATGACCGTTAATGATCTGTTCTGTTGAGTTTGATGGTGGAGTTTGCTCTGTTTTGAACACTTGATTGTTGCGGTTCTGATTGCTCATTTGGTCGTTGTTACCGGGAGAAGAGAGGAAGAGTTGGAGACGTGAGTTGTTGAGGATCTGGCATTGTTCGATGTCGTGATCATCTTGAAGAACATTCCCTTGGAAGAAAAGGGTTTGTTTAGAGACAGAGATACGTTGATACTTCTCGATCTTTTCTTTGATCTCTAACACTGTATCGAAGTAACCCACTTCAATGGAGAATGGTGAGCCTCTTTGAGTCTCTACGAACACATCCATATGTGAATCTATGGAGACTGATGGAGAGTGAATAGAGATGTCAACTTGGGACTTATTGCAACGAAAGTTTCCACATAATGCGTTAACTAATCATCCTATTTCCATGGATTCTTCTTGATTGTTATTATTTTGCTCTCTCTTTCCTCTTTTTTCTTCTCGATTTACTAATTTTGATATAATCTTTCTTTGTCAACAATAGTTAAATATTTTCCAAATAACCATATGTATAAACTTTCATTAGTCTTTGCTAAATCTCTTTGTTTAAAAAATGACAATATATGGAATGTAACACATTTCGAGAATATACTGATAATAAAATCGTACACAAAATAGAAAAACACATTCCTCTGGGGATGTAACAAACTTTAATTCTCCTATCTATAAACCCTGAATTAACCTAAACTGAATTTGGAAAAAGAAGTAAGAAACAGGAACAAAAGAGACACTTAAGAGAGAGAGAAAAAAACAGAGGAAGGCTTAGACACGGACAAGATGATCAAAGCTTGTATTGCTGAAGAAGTCCACCGGCTTGGCTTAGGCTTAGGATCAACCTACACTGATCACAGGCTCAGAGGTGGATCCTCCAGCTGGAGAAGAAGAAGCAGCAGGAGGAAGAGGAAGTAATCGCTTCTTCTGTGCACGAGGAGGCAAATGTTTCACATGTTTTCTTGAGCTATTAGTAGATGCCCATGGTAAGAAAACGCCTGTACCACCAGTTCCCATCACATTGGGACTTGGTAATACCATTGCTTGAACTGGTGCTGGTACCATCATGACCATGGGAGGACGTAGGACTCCAATTTTTGGCATCATGTCTACTGAATGATCATAGCCATTGAGGAATGGAGTTGGTGTCAGTTGGTATGGTTGCCACATTGTCATTACACCGTCGTTGTGAGGACTTGTGGGTCGTGAATGGTTATGATATGTATCAGGTCGAATACGAAAGAACGTGATGCTTACTCTTTTGGTTTGTGATGGGCACATTACATGTCTTGCCATGTCTGCACTGTTCCCTCTCATCACCAACAGAGACCTATATAAAGATCAATCAGATCATCCCAGAAAAGTTAACGAAGAAGCATCAACGTATTTTATCAGAGTTAAAAGTAAAAGGTTATGATGTTTTTTTACCCTTGTTTGAGAGACAAAGTTAAAGGCCCTCTGAAGTTGCCGTCGTTGTCACTTGAGAGAATACGTCCAAAGGCCATTGTTGATTCAGAGAGGACAAGAGTTGAGATTGGTTGTTCTAAGTGAGGTGGCTTGAGGAAAGGCTGTGAGTATTCACCCTGCAAAAAGAGAGGTAATCTCAAAGGTTAAAGAAAAGCGTAAACGTAAAGCAATGGTGCTCTATGAAGATGTGCATGTATACATACCTCTTCGAAGAAGTTAATGACACAACCGTTTGGTCTCTTGTATTCTGGGATGAGTCTCCATGTGACAAAATGATCAATGACACTCTCAAGAAGTGGTGGAATAGGCTCAATGTTAACTACAAACCAATAAAGTCTCCCGGTCAAAGCCATCCACATGCATCAAACCATTTTAGACTGAAGCCTGGCGGATCTAAGCGAATTCCTTACCAGAGTTGTTGCTGTCGTTGGAGTTTTCATCCGCCTTAACATGGCCAAAGATGGGGACACCAAGCTGAATCAGCTCTCTCTTGTTCCCTTTAATCTGTTTATTGAACAGTATAAAGGTCTCACCTGCATTCACCTTGTGTAAGCACCGGAAACACACTTATAAAGCTTATGACGTGTGTGTTTTTTTGGGAGTAAGAAAAAAGTCACCTGCAAGCTTCCCGTTTATGCCAGCTTCTCGGAGTTCTGCCACAAAGTCTATCAATTTAGAGATCTCATCTTCTTTAAGTAATTCTTCATACAACTTTAGTCCTTTCACAACATTCACCTAACATCAAATTTAACTTATCAGTAAAATAGTACATGCATATGCGTCTCTGAAATCGAACGTATCACAAAACACTACTCACAGTGTGGCCTTTCACTTGCTCTTTGGCTTGGAAACCTTTGATAGGCTTAATCTCAGATGAACGTGCATCACAATCTTCATGGCTCTGACATATAATCTGATGTGCAGTGTCCACAGCAGCAGTTTGGTGAACATCCTGATGAGAACCTATAAAAGAAAAAAGAACCTATAAAATTTAAAGTTATAAATTGGTTATAGATCATTCATTACACATTAGTTGTAAAGTGCTTTTTTAAATCATATAATTAATGTTCGAATTGATTCGATTCTTTGGGTTTAGTGAGAAACAACACATGGACTAAAGTAAATGGGAATTAAATGTGAACTTTGATTCTCATATGGACCATTCTAAAGAAGCTATAGAGTATCCTTGTAAAATGTATCAGAGAAGAAAGTCAGAGAGACTATCAATGTTAAGTGTAGAAGACAAGACTAGAAAGTCTAATGTCATCGTCCACGTGTCTATACCTAAATCTTGGACTTTTAAAGACGAGTGAATTAACTACTCCATATTACTTACACACACATCAAGACTGGTAAAACAAAAAGATCTTTTTGTAAAAACTTCTGACTTATTTTATGACCGTGAACAAAAAGCTATAAAGTTAGAGAAAAAAAAGAAATGTGCTCGTGAGTCGTGAGGGATTCGAACATTCGGGACGAGAAAGAAAAATAAAAATATAAAAAGGGGCGGCGAGAATCGTGGGGACCATGATTGATGACGACTCGGTTTTAGTTTTAAATCCAACGGCTGATGTGAGCTCACCCACCAGTCCACCACCACCATTCGAGAAATAAAAAAGAAGAAAATGGCAAATACAAAATCATCACACGCGAATCAATGTATGTATACCTTTGATGCGTTTTAACAGTTACATCAACTAAAGCACAAGACAACAAAACTTGTTGCTACTACTACTACTAGTAAAGTAGTAGTATGTAGTAACAACACCCACCCAACTACGTGCATTGAGAAATGGAATCGTTAGCTAATCTTATAAATCGAAGCAAAAACGACGTCGTTATGAAACCTTGTTTTGAGTCAGAGTGATCACTTTTTACAGATTGTGCTTTTTTCAACACAACTACTAGAACTGGTTTTTGTACTTTTGTACGATTTTTATGGAAGTTTGTGTTAATTTCTTTTTTGTTTTTGTTTTTGTTTTTTAGGGAGTAATAATAATAAGGTCTCGATTGTAAGATCTTATTTTTAATGATATATCCCTTGCAAAACTCATGCAAGTAATAATAGTTACGATATAATAATTGTTCCCCAAGTAATTTAGACTACAATTATCAAAAGCAAAACAATAGCAAAATTAGTTTACGTAAAGTTAGTGAAGAGAATAATAAAAAATTAAATACTTTATTACTAGTTGATAAAAATATGTAATACTTTTTTAATTATAAAAACCACGAAATAGCCAGCAATAAAAAAAAACATTACTACTAGTATAATATATTCTTATTCGAACACGTTAAAAGTCACCAAAATAAATTAAACTATAATTAATATTTAGCTTTCAGTAAAATATACGTCTTAAAACTATACAATATATTAACTTTTTGTATATACAAAAGATTAATAATAATAGTAGTTTTTCAAACATGGTATGGAGAAAGAAAACAAGATTCTTTCTTTTGAAAGAATCTGGTTATTTTTGGTAAAATTGTTTCCAAATATCGAATCTGTGGCATAATGATGCAATAAAATCTCAAGATTTTGATATATTTAAAAATTAAAAATTAAGAATGAAAAGTCAAAATTACTTAAGAATGCATCTCGGATCCAGTAGAGGGAAACACGTACTTAAATCTTGAAACTTGAATTAGTCTGGGAAATATATTAATCAGGAGATATATTTTTTAAATTATAAAAAACTAAATATTTTCAACTCATGATTTTAATGGCGTTTTTTTTAAGTCGTCACCAACCACAGAGAGCCAGTTTACACAGTGAACAGAGAGAATCAAATGACCAAACTTCAACGAATATGCTTTTTTAAAAAACAAAAACAATAATGCAAATAAACATAGCAAGATTCAGAATTAAGCTGATGAAATAGATCAATCATTGTTCTTTTGTAAATAAATTATGAAGATTCATTCTGGATCCAAAAAAAGAAATATAATTTTGGTGTTTTTGGAAAAATACGTAAAGAAGTATTACTTACCTGAATCAGTGATATCACTAGTCGGAGAATCATCTTCAACGTCTTCAAGGTCTCCGTTAATCTCATTTTCCGTTACTTTCTCGCCGTTAAAACAATCTTTCTTCTTCTCCTCCTCGGCCGCCGCCGTCTCTTTCAGATCTTCCTCCGCCTCCTCTGTTTTCTTCTTCTGTTTCAGATCCTCCGCTTTCTTAGCCGCCACTTTCTGAAGCTCGATCGCGACCTCTGCGATGGAGTGATACTTCTGCATCTGGAGAACAGGGATCCAGTTCAGACGCCGGCGATGGATCGCGGCGAAAACAGCTTCGTACTCCGATCCGGAGACAGCCTCTTCGGTTGCTCTGAGATGCGAGCACATGGCGTCGATGATAGCGTTCGCCGCCGCGAATTCGCCTCTGAACCATGAGATCAACGCATCTTTCCCTAGTCCGTCGGAAACAACAGCCCCCGGCGGAACCTGAACGGGAACGGTGACCGCCTTCGCCGTAGTGGCGAAAGCAGGAGCTGATCGATCTGTCTGGCGTGCTGGCACTGCCGCAATCGTCATCGGCGTAAAACTCCGGCGAAGAATCAGTTACTCTCCGGGATCGATATATATATATATTTTTAACGATTTAACGACGGCGGCTTAAAACAGAAGACAAAAGGCAAAAATGGGTCGGGTTGGGGTTCGGGTCGGGTCGCAGCACATGCAGTGTAATGAGAGAAGGTTTTTGAGGTTTGGTTTTGGTTTTGGTTACTTCCTCCGAATTATATATATTGGGGGCAGCCGGGGAAAAAAAGGATCCGTACAGGTGGGAGAGACTTATGGAGATGACGTGGCACTTTCTTAACGCTGACGTGGCTAAACTTCTGGCCCTCTTTTGCCCGTTTTTTATTCCAAAGAGTTTTTTTAAAACAAAACACACGAAAAGGGTTTATATAAATTGCATGTATTATGAATATATCTATATATATATTACTTCATTCATTCCCAATTATAAAAAATTCATCTATTTTTATGTATTATTAAAGGTTATTTATTAGTATGTTATGATTTGTATTCTACAATTCTTTTTTCTATTGATTATTTTCGAAAACATTTATATTTTTTTAATATTGTGTATTTATTTTTAAAAATAGAACAGAGGGAGTACATGAATATCTAATATAATCTAATGTTTCTTGTCATTTTGTAATGTTACTAGACGTAGTTACAAAATTTTCTCAAATTATTACATTGTTCATTCTAGTATTGTATTTCTGATTTCATTATAGAAGACTTTATGCTGTTCAAAATATGATGTTGTTATTTTATTTTATTTTTTTGACAAAAATTTGTATTAACATATGCTTTTATTATTGAATGCACACATGGCAAACAAGTTTAATAATAAAATGAGTGTTTTATACTTATGTTATAAATGAAACTACATAAATTTGTAAAACAAATTAATTTTCTTAGATTTTCAATGCAAGATTTTCAATGCAACACGTTGAATAAAAATTTTAAAAAGAAATAAAAAAAAAAAAAAAAAAAAAAAAAGAGAATCTCTAAAACTCTTATAGAAAGAAAGAACAGAATCCGATAGGATATGTTTTGTTACATTTGTTGGAAGAATTAGAGGTGAAATTAAGCGTTGGTTAAAAAGCTTTGTATATTGTACTCACACACATTTCTTTTTAAAGTATAGTTCAGTTTTTAAAAGCTCTTTAAAAAGTTGTGACATGGTCTACTCTTTTTTTTGGGTTGATGTTACGCACAATAGTTCCTTCGGACAACTAAAGGACGGCGCTGAACAAAAGACAGAGTTATCTTGCCGTATTGCATAAAATGACCTCCAACTATATATATATATATATATATGTATCTATTCTGATTTTGAAAGGTTCAAGCTATTGTTGTTTCCTATATGTTGTAATTATAGGATTCCAAGTAAGATTAGTTCAATCTAATCCTTCCTTAGTCGTCATGTTACGGTGGAATGGTTTTGAACCATGGTTCCAAACATTTCAAACACTAAACGCGCCCCCATAAATTAGTTGCATTCTTAAAACTTGTCAACTAATTTTAAAATTATAAAGGCTATGATGTTAACCATTAATCTAATATTTTAATGCGTCATTTATGAATAATATACACTTTTCCAATATTGTTATTAAATAGAAAATTTAAATGTGTCTATACTATTAGATCATATAAATTTTTCTACTATTCCTCGTTCTTTGCTTTCCATATTAAGAAAATTAACTTATATGCACCATATTGTATTTTCCATTTTGGTCGCATTCGATATGTACATATATTTTGTTCTTGCTATGATTCTCGTCATTATTGGTACATAGCAGCTAATATTCCTAATTCCGTTTACTATTTAGTAGATGTTTAGACATATAGAAGTGTAAATCGATTATATTTTATTGTTGGTTTGAACTTTACACCAACCAAACTCATGAGTCATGATGTCGATGTCCATATCCATGAGGCCCGTGGAAGATGATCTAAGAGATGACGTATAAAATAATAATAATCAAATTGGTTATGTGTCTCGAAGCCTATTAAATTAGTCTAAAGACCTTCTACTATTGCGTCGTTGTCCTCATTTGACTTCTCTTTTTTTGTTTACAAGTCAAATCGACTAATCGTTAAAGAGATCCTTTCTATGTGATTAATTAAAAACATTAATCATGACGACAGTTACAAGATATATACTATAAATTAAAAGAGAGAAGATACTCATCCGTGATTAGTAGGTTTTATCTGTGGTTGTTGTTTTGCATGCATGATTTTTTGCTTTCTTTTGACAAAACTTGGATACCTAGTGGTTAATATTCTAAAAGCATATTTAAAAATTTATGCATATGTGATCTCGTATTAATTAGTGTTGAAAAAAGAAAGTTGAATAAGATGGTGCATGTTGACTAGTTAATGATCAAAAATCCATAAAGAGCAAATTAAAAGGTAATGTGTAGCCTTGTCAAAAGAAAAGGTTAGAAGAGAACCAAAATTGAATGATGATGGGTTAGACCGACGAAATGTAAAAAAAATATGGAACCGAAATTAGAAAAGTCTTAGCAAAATGGTGGGGGGAGGTGAAATTAGGGCCTACAAGGTCCAGATTTGTGGGTCGCAGGGAACACCTCCACCCTCTTAACATCAGTAGATTCCCTTTTCCACTACCTATGGCACATACACAAAAGAGGCATGGGGTTAACTCATGCACGAACCCTTAGTAGTGTCTGTGTGTGACTGTGAGTGACCCATAATTAAAAGTGTCGTCGTCGCTCATTGTTGTTTTTCGTGATCATCATAAGAAATGTTCTTCTAATCATGATCTATGAAGAACTGATAGCTACCTCACGTTTTTGTTACTCGGATCTTCTTATATATGTAGATACAGGATAAACTTTTATGAACGTAAATCACCACACAAGTTCACTAACTAACATTTTTATACATATGATTATATAGATATCTATGCATCTTTATATCCACATGCAATATTACCAGTTTAAATGATTGTATTCATTATAATGGGTTATCGACTGATGAAGCTTTAGAAGCATTTGTAATGCACACCAAATGAAAAAGGAAATGGGAAATTGGGTTCTTTTTGCAGTCTTTTTTTTTTTTTTTTTCTGTATAAGTGAGCTACTAGTTACATTCGAGTTAGTGTAAGTTGTGGGCAAAAGATTCATTTGTTGGGACAACCACAAACAAACACACACATGAATTAATAATAATTTGTCTTACAATCACATCTAGAATTTTTATAAAACTTTTGGTTCTCTAGCTCTTTTGATTAAAATAAGATATATAACTATCTAATCACATAAACCCTTATCAACCTACAAAATCATCAGATGTATTGGAACCACAAAACCCTTATTAATTAGATATATATGATTCAATATTAATATAATCTTTAATATATAAGTTAACAATGTACATTGTATAAATTCACTTTTTAGGAAATAAAGTTCTCTTTTTCTAAGAGAATATTGTTACATGTGTTGGACTGTATTGAAGTTTTCATATTCGTCCAACTTTGATCCTGGGAGATTAGCTTGTCTAAATGAAGTAAGTCTTTTAAGTAGCCTTTTTCTCCCATTAATATATTATTGCTATATAAAAAGTATTTAAAACATGTCGAATAATATTATATAAATACCGCATTATTCGGGAATACCCTCCTTGCATGTGAGAAAATGGTCCAACCAAGTAAAAGCTAGCTTCTATAGTATTTGTTTATTATGCAACTTTTACATACATACACAATAATTCATTTTATGTATTAATCATTAAGTATTGATTGGCGTAAAGCTTCTAATTATGTACATATTATTCATGGAATATGAACCACCGGCTCTACAAGGAAGAAAGATGAAAGAATAGTTTCTCTCTTTTTTATAAATGGCTAAGAATACTTTATCTCGATAATGAGGAATATCAAAACAATGACTTTAATTTCCGTTTATGTAATAATATATTTAGTTTGTATTCCCAGCATATGCATATATATTTATTGTAATATTGCAACAATGGAAATATCTTTGGGTGGTAAGTAACATGAATTTGTGTTTTATAAATTATATGAAATTTTTATATCTTAATTAGGTAGTAATTTATTTTGAATGTCTTGCATATTATTATACAATATAGGGTTAACTTTATACATTATGCATGGTAAATCATTTATCAACTTTTTTTTTTTGTGTGTTTACGATATTATGATTCTATAATAAATTATATGTTTTGATGTATCCATTTTTAACCATAAAACTGATATTTGGATATCATCCTCCAAAACCAAAACTCGGCTTTTATAGTCTCAAAACTTTAAATTAGTTATAAACTTTAAATTAATTAAAACAATGAGACATTAGCGACATAATTAGGATATGTGATAAACCAAATAAAGTTAAAAAAAAGTTATATTCTTTTTTTGTATTTTCACCTTTGCCGTCAAAAGGTACGATAAATGGAAAATATGCTCTCGTCTTCTGAGCCTCAAAACAAATTAAAGCCTTATATAAGAAGATTCTAACATATCTTAGTAAAAGAGAGATAGTTGGTAACACATTCCCATGTGGTCCGGAAAACAAAAGTTCCCTTTATTTTCAATTGGAATATTTATCAGCAACTCGATCAGTACGTAGTATTCTATGTTGCAAACGTACGTACGTTATAAAACATACAAATACCGTATATAGTAATAATGTTTTGAAAAAGGTGAAAGTCCATTTTAATAGAAAGATGAAAGTGTCGTTAGTTTTAGTCCATTGATAGTTTCTAATTGTCTCGAACTTATATACTGTGATGGGTTAACACTCATATATATTCTGGACTCTATAGTCTATACTGTGAAAATACTGTCGTTAGTTTAGACTTTAGACCATTGATAGTTGTATTGGTCTCGAACTTATATACCGTTAACACTCGTTTTATGGACTATGTATGTTCATAAACAGATTTAGAGAAAAAACTCTCATACACATGATCACATTAATTCACGATACATCAATCGTCTATTTTCAACTTACTATTTATAGTCTCTTGATTAATTTAGTGGTCATAATTTGTTTTCATGTTTTCCAAGGTTACGTGATCATGTATATATTATTTAACATCAAACAAAAAAGTCCAAATCATATAATGTTTATCCCAATTGCCTAATGGTTTATGTTGGTCACATCAAATACTAATTAGTGCTCTAGATATTTTGGTTGAGTCACGGAATCGTGAACT